CTAAAAACTTTCTGCGCATGCAACCGCGTTGGCACATGCGCACCGATGTTTCAACGCATGGCGCGTAGAACCTTGACTACTGCGCATATGTGTGTGCGCAAGTGCAGAAAATTTTCGCCTGCGCGTTTATGATAACGGACGGTGTAAGCTAAAATTATCTATTATCTATTTTCAGTTATGTTAATGATTGCGTTTTCCTTAATCTTCGAATGGATCCCGCTTATTTTTTGCAGACTGTAGAGCAATTTTAAAAGTAAACTTGAAATTTCGATTATGTCAAATAGAATTTCCGATGCTGGAACTTCCAAAGATCTACAAAACGAAAGTATGTTTCGATGTCCACAAATAAAAGTGAATTGCTCCAAAATGGATAAGACATAAGATGTGACGAGGGTTAGTGAAACGAAAAAATTTCGATTGACAAGTTAGTCGGTATTCTCGTCCTCGACACGCAATTAAGGGACTTGAACAGCAGAACTTTGTAACTGAACAAAAATTATGTCTGTTTATAGAATTAAGGAGAAAGTATTATCACATAAAATGAAGCAACTTAAACAACTTACATTGAAAGAAATGTTTAATAAGTAAACAAATAAATATTACGTTTTTTTTTTTTTTTTTTTTTTTTTTGGAAATTTTGATACCCTTTAGATCATAATTGTTCTTTATTTCATAATTACGGTTTCATATTTTTAATTTTAGAATTTCTGCATGCCTCTTACGAGATTTAAACTGATATCTATAATCTGGAAAAATCGATAATCTGGAATCGCCGAAGTCCCCGACGAGTCCGGATTAACGACTTTTGACTGTATATATATGAACATAGTTGTATTTTGTTGACTCTGTAATGATAGATTCACCAGTAAACGGGTATAGTAAATTTAAAATAAGTGCAAAATCAATCAAAGAACTAACAAATTCTATTAATGAAGTAAATAAGGATATACACAAAGCAAGTGCAACATGGGTGAAAAATATTACAAATGTATGCAAACAATAAGTCTTTCAAGGTCGATTTTAAGTTAGATACTGGTGCAGAAGTAAATATTTTGCCTTCATATGTTTTAAATAATGTTAAACTTAAGCCTAAACTTAATGAAAACTGATTTGTTCTTAACTGCATATGGTAATTTAATTAAACCAGAAGGTACTCTTATAATTAATTGTTTCAACTGAAAGCTTAAGAATGTACCTTTAGAATTTATGTTTTGATGTAAGATCTAAGCCTATATTAGGGTGAACAGCTTGTTCTGCATTAAAGCTAATTGAAGGATCGATTCTTTAAAGTGCAATATCATTAATAAAATGATTTAATTGCTCAGTATAAAGATGTATTGTTTACAGGCACAGGCCAATTTCTCTTGACGAACATATCATATAACCCTTAAAGTTGATGCAATACCAGTATACAACCCCACACCTGACACCATGTAACTTCTTGTGTAGTTTGTTTAATTTAATTACTTCTGTACTTTAAAAGAAGACTCAACTAATGAGTATATCTCAAGAATTCAAAACTTTTTATTATTACATTTTTAAACAGTTCACATAACATTCAGCTAGCACAGTAACACGTGCATCACAACAACGGAATCGCATAGCATGAGCGCCGTTAAAGTTAACTGAAGTAAGGAGGTTGTTAGGAATGTTAAATTTTCTGTCAAAATTTATACCTAATGTATCTAAAGTTACTGCTCCTTTAAGAGAAATCATTCAAGAAAAGGTAGAATTTAATTGGGAAGAGACTCAGGAGGAGTCATTTAACAACATCAAACAACTGCTAACCAAAGCTCCAATTTTACGTTTTCAGTGGTAATGAAGATATAATTATATAGTGTGATAGTTCGAAGGATGGCCTAGAATCGTGTCTAATTCAAAAGGGTAAGCCTGTATCATTTGTGTCTCGCAGTGAAAAAACAGTGATTAACAGTGAAAAAAACTATGCACGGATCGAAAAAGAGCTATTGGCCATAGTATTTTCTTTTGAAAAGTACCACAATTTTGTTTATGGACGGAAAGTCACAGTACAAAGTGATCATAAAACATTCAAAAAAATTGCCCTTGATATCTTGCAATTTGGTAATCAAAGTTACTTAGTAGTTATTGATTATTACTCTAAATGGATTGAGGTTTCTAGCATAAAAGATAAGACAGCAAATGAAATTATGATGAAGTTAAAATGCATCTTTGCCAGGTATGGTATTGCAAATGAAGTCGTTTGCGACAATAATACCTGTAATAGCTACTTATTTAAGAAATTTGCTGAAGATTGGGATTTCGAACTTAAATTTAGTAGCCCCAGATATCCTCAATGTAACGGGTTGGCTGAAAAAGCTGTACGAATAGTGAAAAATATCATGAGGAAAGTGCAAGATATAAGTGTAGGCTTAATGGAATATCGAAATACCCCAATTAGTGGAATAAATTTGTCTCCTGCACAACTGTTACTTAATAGAAGATTAAGGACAAAATTACCTATCAGTAATAATTGTTTAAATACTAAGATAAACAAACCTTATTCTAAATTTCGTGCACTTCAAGCTAGGCAAAAAATATTATTATGATAGAACCGCACAGAAACTGCCCAAGTTTAATAACCTGGATATAGTATAACCTTGTTCAACTTTAGAACTGGGCAATGGGATAAAGGTGAAATAATTTCAAAACATAAAGCTCCTAGATCCTATATTGTAAGAAATTCAAATGGGGAAATATTGCGAAGAAACAGACGCCATATAAAATTTTCAAATCACCTTACAAAGTTAATAATGATTATGATGATATAGTATTAGATAAAGAGGAAAATTCAAATGGAAGCCTTGAGAATGTTTTCTGTGCCTGTTAATATAGGAAATCAACAGAATAATCTATCCAATAGTACAATAACAAGAAGTGGACGGTTGATTAGACAACCTTCAAGATATAGAGACTTTGTCATGGAATAAAATAATGTAACATATTGCATATATCATTTTTATGTAACTTTTTTGTTATTGTATGTCATATTGTAAATATACTTGTATTGATATATTTGGTATTTTTATTATTGTTTTATAAACTGGAGGAAGGGATGTGATGTATATTTAAAAACTTTTCCTTTAATTGGCGCTCATGCTATGCGATTCCATTGTTGTGATGCATGTGTTTACTGCTGTGCTAGCTGAATGTTATGTGAACTGTTTAAAAATGTAATAATAAAAAGTTTTGAATTCTTGAGATATACTCATTAGTTGAGTCTTCTTTTAAAGTACAGAAGTAATTAAATTAAACAAACTACACAAGAAGTTACAGATCCAGAAAATACTGTTACCGATATTGAAGAAAGTGACAGAGAGGTTATTGAAAAAATTTCAATTGACAAGTTAGTGATAATTCTGGACACAGCAGTTACAGTATGTGAGTAATGAGCAGTTCAATTCAAATACATATTTGATTATTAACTCTGATTTGAAATTTTTACTACTGATTATAGGAGACAACTGCAGTTTTATTTTACTAGTATACAGATACAGTGAACTTATAGGCCTAAATTAAGTCATAAGAACAAAGATGCAAAAACATTTAATGAAACACCTGTGATTGCATTTTTGTGAACAGTTTTCTGATTTAAGTTTCAACTGTTGATGAATTTAGGTTCCACATTGATGTAGATTCTGTATATGGGTTTGGTACTTGTTTAGGCCAAGAATCTTGCTGTACAGCGATATGCAGTTGAGAGAGGCATCAGCACTGATTTTGCTTTCTCAAACTTTTGAATTCATCTTGTATGCAACTTGAACTCTTGTAAATTTTACTTTTGAAATGTGATGTTAAGTTTGTTGCAAGAAGTCAAATATATGAGGACCTTATATTCCATTGAGTTTAAATTAGGTAGTTTTTATTTCATGCTGAACACACTCAGTACCCATTCATGAGCTGTCAGAAAATTAAATTTGATTTGTATAAAAACTGGCATTTTTCCATTTCAGTGGTAGATTGATTTCTTTCATTTTGCTACAGGCTTTGGCCAATATGCCACATTTTTTGCTTTATATCTGTAAATGATTATATTACTAAACTTATGTATATGCACATTAATTGTTCATTCCCTCATCATGTCCCTTTTAGTATGTTTTCTTATTGGGGTTTTCATCAAATTATCTCCCCCCCCAACAGTTAAAAATTTAAATTTATAATAATGAATTAAAAATAATAAATATGTTTTACATCAGAATAATGTAGTAAATTAATGAGCAAGAACTGTAAAGTATGAAGTCAAATTTCTCAGTGGAGTCTTTTTGAATTTACATTGCTGTGCAGTGTTAGAACCCCCCCCCGGGTTTCCCCCATTTCGGCCTGACAACTATGGCATTACTTGATGTTGTTTAACAACAACACAATTTGTGTTACCTGATGAGTGTAGTATGCCATAAAACAGTTTAGGTTGGTTGATGACTTGAATAGAATCAGCGTTGAAATATGATGTATTTTGTTACAGCATTCCTTTTTCTGGATGAGTTGCTACCACTTGTCTAGAAAAACCCAACAATATTTGTCGCTAATGGAAGTAAGCCAATTTTATCATTCTATCCCCTGCAATTTAAGTATAGTTAAATAGTGTTAGGTTGTGCACATAATCCACATCAAGCTTACACTGAAACATCAATGCAGTTCATAATTGTTACATTATATATTATTTGTTGTACAGCTGCATCCAATTGCAGAGTGTGTAAAGCAATTAGAAATTTTAAATAGTTCTTATACCTGCACTTAAGAATTATCTCTTTCTCATGTGCACCTTATACAAGTCTGATAATTTTTGAGGAGACAGCTTCTTTGTTGCAGAATATATAGAGCATTTTTAGTTCTTCTATTCAGCAAAATGGATTTAATGTGCCATGTAAACAATAATCATTATATTTTCATTTTTAGATAATGCCATATATAATTTGATTGAATTAATGTCTTTCTTTATTAAAAATATTTTGATATTTAACATATACATTTATTCAGGATACTGTGCAAGCACTGTATTTGGACTGTGATCACCCTGCTTTAAGGCGAATGAAAAATGTTGAAAGTTTTCTTCAAAGATGTGAGTTATTTATTATTCCTTTATATTAATTTAAATATGTATAATTTGATGTATTTCAGATTGCACTATATGTATTTTAGATTTAAATATTGCATAAATTATGCAATAGTTGCCAGCATGGTTTATTTACCTATATCTTCCACATGCAACATTATTTGTGCGTACAGGTTGCTTTCAAGACAGGAAATACTAAATAGATTATTTTAGATAAGACATGAGTTGAACTTTTTTTTTTGAAGATCACTCATTTCAGTTCAGCTTGAAATCTCACAATGATGCATGGCTTCAAGAATTTGCATGACTATTATATTTTTTCAAGAATAAGCTGAGCTTAGAATTACAGAGCATTTGTACTATAGAACATTTTTAATGCGTCAGACTGCTTCCAAAGTATCTGACATAATTGATTCTATGTTCAACAAACTTTATTTTTGAGTCATGTTAAAAGCAGACTGAAATATTTGATACATTGTACAAATTCTTATTGGAAAATTATAAGAAATGAAGCAATGAAGTCAAATAGGGAATAATATAAACAACTTAATTGAATATTGAAGAAATTAAACAAGAAACAGCGTACGATTTGTAAATTTTGCAAGTCTAGTTTCGATGGTTTAACTACAGAGCCATCTTCCACAGCTGCCTAAGTGGCAAAGTTCCTCAGCTGCGTAAGTATAAATAGGCAGCTGAAGAAGCTGGTTCTGTAGTTAAACCATCAAAACTAGTCCTGCAAAACAAATCTTATGCTGCTTCCTGTTACTTGACTACTCCAGTAATCATTATTCGCTGTGTTATTTTAACCTAAACTTAAAAGAACTTCAAAAGTCATTCAAGCACTACTTTGCAAAATGAAATGAAAGAAAGACTGGGTTTCAGATCCTGCTATTGACAATTTATTTGAAGCAGCCAGTTACTCTGCAAGAATGAATAACTTAGTGAGTTTTTGACTGATTTCTTCTTTAAGGCCATTTGTAAAAAATATTGCTCTTTGGATCTCAGCAAGCGAAAATAAAGCAACTGAAAAGGCATTAAGGTGTTTACTGCTATATGCTGACACTAAACACATGAGGAAATTATTCTTACCCTACATATATTCTAAAAACCATTACTTTAACTAACTTGCTGCTGATCCTTATTTAAGATTCTAGCTCTCCAAATTTGATTCTGATCTCAGTATCAAAGTTGTTTAATCTTGTATTTATTAATTTTTGGATATACTGTATGGTAATGTATTGTTCATTTTGTGCTTGAATGCAAATGTGTAAAGGGCTATTACCTTTTTCTTGTGAAGGGTCTAAATTTTTATCTGAAGTTTAGTATGAATGAAGTTAGGTGTAGACCTCATGAACAGTCAATAAATTCGTCAATTCACACAATTTCTGCTTTCCTTTGTACAAAAGTTGATGATTAAAGTAATTACAGTGCATTAATAATATATTTTAGTTTATGAAGTGTGTGTTATCTCAGTGTTTATTTTAAATAATTAATGTAATAATCGGTCTTTGCTTGATTATGTTTTTCTGGCCTTGTTCATTGCAGTGTATTAATTTTATGGTCTTAAAATAATCAATGCTAAGGTACATTATAGGAATAATGGAGGGTTTAAGGGAGTCATAGGTTCTTAAGGATATTTACGAAGTCTTATTAATGGGTATGGAAAAGGGAGGGAAAATGGGAATTTATTAGGCCAATGTAAAATTTAGAACCTGTTCAATTTTGCCAGATGAAGTCTGCTGACAACATCACAGATCAATTACTTAGATTATACATCATTCAAAGACAAATGAGTAGATTCCCTTATACTTTTTTTTTTTATCAGCAACTTGGATATAGCAGACCTTTCATCTTATACCACATGTGAGTAGTAATATGCTTAGCTGTAAAACAAGTGATCACATTTTTTTAGACAGTAAGGTGAAAAACAGACTTCTCACAATTATTGGTCTGTAAATTTTCAGGCTTAAGGCATCCAAAGGTATCACCATATTTTAGCACTGATTTACTTTGAATAATGCTTATTTAATGTGTTGTGGAAAATCATTTCAGGACTATTTCTGCCTAAGAGAAGGAGTGATTTTGTGAAGAGTTTTTTAAGAGCAGATTGGCTTAAAAAAGTAGATGAAAAGTTTTTGGATTATTCCAAATGTATTTGGCTGCTTTGTAAAAACAGTGCAGAGTAACATGGAAATTATATCTTAACTATGAAAAGTTAGTGATGAATGAGTAAGCGATGCATATTAATGCATAATATACCATTTCAAACTGTGTCTCAGCATCACAGAAAATAAGATATTTTCAGTTTTGTTGTTCTTTCTCTGCTATTTTCAAATTACTTTTTATAAATGTTTTCAGTTATCTTTACACAGAAAATTTCATAAATGCCCAGCTGTTGAACAATGATTTAAAAATGTTTAGTTAAAAAAAAGTACAAAATTTTCCCCAAACGTTTTAAAATCTCATTTCATCTCATCAGTTAAGAATAATACAAATAATGCGGTTTAAATTAATTAAAAATATTTTAAGTGGAAACAAAAAAACTGCTTTTAAATGTCTGGGTACACAATAATTGAAATATGTGTTAACATGTATGAACATGTCTGGAATGCATACATGTTAACATGTATGAACATGTCTGGAATGCATACATGTTAACATGTATGTGTTCCAGAAGTTTTTATATTTGAGTTCAAGCTTAAGTGTATTACTAAACCTCATTGTTGTTATATTAGTTTGCTTATATCTAAATGCGTTAAGCGTTTTTATGTTGACAAAAGATTGGGATTGATTTTTATAAATAGCACATATAAAGATACTCTGGTGTGAAAAATGGGAAGCATGAAGAAGAAAAGTTAACTAAAGAACAGAAAGGTTCTGTTTCAATGAAGCCAAAGTTTCTGTTCTAGCACATTTTGATAAATTACTAGGAATATCATTAATCCAATTAAACATGCATGGAATGCAGTGCCCAGGGATTCACATCGTACTGCGGGGAAATTTGTAAATGGGGCATTTTCCCCCACCTCTATTTAATAGCATAACAGTAATTAAAAAAAAATATTAAAAATATTTTTATAAATTTTTATGAGAGCCCATTTTTTACTCAAAAAATCATCCCTATCATTTACCTTTATCACCTATGTTTTCCCTTAATACTGATATTATTTTATTTGAGAGTGAATATGCTATTATTTTAAACTTTGACAAAGTGTATATTTTTTGCTTTATGTTCCATAGGTTATATAATCAAAGTTATTTATTTGCAAGAGTCTTGAGTAAAATGAGTAAGTAACCTCATCATGGAATTGCCCATTCAGGGGGAAAAAAATCATATCACGCTCACAGTGCATCTGATTATATTTTAAAATATAATACACTGGTACCAAGCGCTTCTTTCTTTATTAATAATTCTTCATTTATGCCTGTTTATTATTTGTTTATATACTAATATTTTAAATGTCCTGCACAAATTAGAAAAGAAAAAAATAACAAAAATTCAAAGACATTATCTACAGCCCATTAAAAATGATCAACATAGCCCTTGGTCTCAAGGTGGGTAGGCATTCAGAATTGTACTGATTAAAATTTTAACAGTATGAGCAAATTTTCTGAAAAAGGAATTATATGAAAATAAGGTATTTGCATATTAATTCCATTAGCCATTTAAATTGGCTACCATCTAACCATGATGGAGATTCTACCAAATTTGCACTGACCTTTCCTGCAGAATTTTGAAAGAACTGACACCTCTTTTTTAATAAACAATCAGTATTTGGCCCACTTTTGCTCTTTGTAAAAATGGTTTTGTACATTTCCAGTAGTTTGGTAAGCTGTCTGATTTTACTGAGTCTATTTCCGTTTTCTTTGCCATATTCAGCCGACCATATCATGTCCGTTAACACACATTTTTTTTAAATGGCTGAATCCCATAACTTTGAAAATAATTCACTGCATGGGGTTCTGTAGAAGGTAGGTCTCATATTTTAATTTCTTTTAAATGCAGAAGGATCATATAATAATAAGTTAATTTATATCCTTGTTCATAGAAACAAAAGGTAGCTTATTAAGAATCTATCAGTAATATCAAACAAAAGTGCAAATGTTATAAATGGCTTGTTATGTCTCACTTATCCATAATTGACATTAAAAAACACTTTTTCACAAAAGTTTCATGGTCAACAAAACAATACACAAGTAATGAAGATAAAATTTAAAATTGAATTTTTCTTTTTTGTGAAAGTACTGGGTAATTCTGTTATGATATTAAAATATTTGTTTGCATGAAGAAAACTTATAGTGAGTTTTACTAGTGAATTAAAAATAACTTAGCTAGCTAATAATTTTGTTAATTTGAAAATTAATGGTATTTTTAGCTAAGTAGATTTTTATATACTGTGTGTTTGTATAACTTAGCATCATCCAGACTAGTTCATTGAAAAATGGGGAGATGGTCATAATAGTTTGGCTCATAAGTGTATATATGAAAGGATGATATATGCTTTTTCAGACAAAATGTTACACATACAATGATTATGTTTTTACAAATTTTGTACATTGATAATTTTAGTGAAATTGTACGTGAAATTGTATTTTTTGTAAAATGTAACGGGATAATCTGATGGAGCAAAGCTGGCCGGAAAAGAAAGAATACAGGGGCAAGTCTATTTAACATAGTGAATGGCTGTCTCTCTAATTTGGCGAGAAATCGCATAAAGTCGCCAAACTTGACAGCCGTCTTGTCAGCATTTTGGTCTGGTCCCTGTATCGCCATAATAGGCATAGTAATTGAATGACTATAATTGATGTTCCGTGTAGTTGTAACTGTAATTTGGCCCTCATATGTCTTCCAGTAATTTCGAGAAATGGAATTTACTAGAAATTTTTATGTGGGTGGGTGAAAATTATACAAGAGCAGAGAGAGTATCAGTTTCAGAATTTTAGTAGTTAGATGTGATTTTGGAGTACTGAGATATTTGAGAGAGCTTCAGCTTTTAGATGCGCTT